AAGATTATAATTCAGTCTCTGGGGTGCCTCCTCTGGAGTAAGTACCAGCAGTTGTGCCAGTTTTGCTGATTAAGACTCATAGCTGTATACCTTTTCTTGTTGTATGTTTTTATAACTGGCAAAACTTGAATTTTGGGCTTTGTAGCTGTTGAGTTGGGTAACATGCATGGTGGAAGGATCAAGAATGCCATCAGTGGAACGCCTTTTGTTTTGACTGGTAGAGATTTGAGGCCGTGTCTAATAGATACTTGTGTTCCGTTGGAAGATCACTCGGATTTATTTTGGGACTTTTGCTGCAAAATAATTGTCTTTCTTGGACTCTTAAGCCTATTTAAACAAAAAGAAATCAGTTCTTTGTGGCAGTTACAAATTTAGCTGCGCTTTAGTTGATCTCATGTATGTCCTCAGACTAAAATGGAGCACAGCTGCTGCTTCGTCGGTGTGAGGAACGTGTGCTCCTCACCCAGGTTCTTCAGTCTAGTGTTTCCAGGAAATTGGCGCTGAAGCAACATTTCATACTTGACAGACATGCTCGATGTGGTGATGATCTGGGTTTTACGTTTTTATTGTTAGGTCATGCTGCCTTCCTTTAAAAAATGATATTGTCTGCTGAGGCAATATTGTGGCAACTAAACAGTGATGGAGTGAAGTGTGGCATCTGTGAAGTGGGAGTCAGAGCAGGGAGTTGGTGGTGGTTTCTTCTTCATGTTCAGGGCATGGGGATGTGTTGAGGCAGCGGACAGTATTTTGATCCTCCTGCTGAATAGAGTTTCTTACTGGCAATGGATGGCTAGTAGTGCTTGTTAAAGTCACCTAGCTAATTCACTAGGCCACTTTGGGCTTATGTTTGGGAAAGCTGTATATGATACTACTCAAGAGTATGGGCTTTGAAATCAGACAGTTGTTCCAGTTGCAGTTTTCTTCTTGTTTTTTGTTTTTGTTTTTGTTTTAAGAGACAAGATTAGCCGAGTGTGGTGGTGGCTTATGCCTGTAACCCCAACACTTTGGGAGGCCAAGGCTGGTGGATCACAAGGTCAGGAGATCGAGACCATCCTGGCCAACATGATTGAAAATTACAAAAATTAGCCGGGTGTGTTGGCGTGTGCCTGTAGTCTCAGCTACTTGGGAGGCAGAGACAGGAGAATTGCTTGAACCCAGGAGGCAGAGGTTGCAGTGAGCCGAGATTGTGCCACTGCATTCCAGCCTGACAACAGAGCGAGACTCTGTCTCAAAAAAAAGAGATCTTATTCTGTTGCCTAGGCTAGAGTGCAGTTGTGCAATCATAACTCACTGCAACCTCAAATTCCTGGGTTCAGGTGATCCTCCTGCTTCAGTCTCCCAAACAGTTGAGACTACAGGAATATGCTACCATGCTTGGCTAATTAATTTTTTTTTTTTTTTTTTTTTTTTTTTTGGTTAGAGATGTGGTCTTGTGTTGCCCAGGCCGGCCTTGCATTCCTTGACTCAGACGATCTTCCTACCTCAGCCTCCCAAAGTATTGGGATTATAGGCGTGAGCTACTGCACCCGGCCTGGATAGGATTATTTTGATCCTCCTGAGTTTGAATCCTCCTTGTAAATAAATACATTTTCTCTTATAAATACAGTTAGATGTGCCTCTGCTCCCAGGACACTATTCATGTATCTCTAAATATACTGATAGTTGAATTTATGAAACTGGAAAATTAAAGAGTAGGTTGTTGCTTACTGATGACTTTATTACAGTGGTTTCACAATGTTGATACTGCACTGGAAGAGCCTGCTACCTGCCATTTCCCTTGGCATGCCTCTTTTCTTGTTGCTCACTGCAACCTGTAATGCTTGTCACTTCTGGTGTATATGTTTTTTCCAGGCAGTCTCACAAGTTGTAATGACTCTCAGTTGTTTTGCAAAAAATCTGTGTTGATGCTGATGTACTTTTACTATGAAATATGTGCTTAAATAAGGGTGTGTGAATGGAATGATGGGAGTGCAGTCTGTTGAAATGTGGTTCTGTTTTTATTTTTTAAGGGACAAGAGTCTCACTGTCTTGCCCCAGGCTGGAGTGCAGTGATACAACTTCAGCTCACTACAGCCTGGGCCTCTTGGGCTCAAGCAGTCCTCCTGCCTTAGACTTCTAAGTTGCTGGGACTACATTCACATGCTACTATGGTTGGCTGTTAAATTGTTTATTTTTTTTAGAGATGGGGTCTCACTATGTTGCCCAGGCTGGTCTCAAACTCCAAGTTTATGCCTAGTGTTCCATTATTGGAATGCTAAGCTCGTGGGAGTTATTTATATCCTATTGCTCAAGGTCATCGCCAAGGTCTGAGTTTTCACAAAAAAAATTTGCAGCTTCTGGCATGAATGGGTTAAGCGATGCTACTGCCTTAGCCTCCCCAAGTGCTAGGATTACAGGCATGAGCCATTGTACCAGATCTGAAATGTGTTTTAGCTCAGCGGATTGAGCATTAAGAACTTACAGTATTTTTTCAATACGAACAACAAAGAAAACAAAAAAATAAGAATAATAAAGAACTTAACTATTTTTTCAAGTCATGCATAAAATTTGTATAATTTGGCCTACAAATTTTCTCATATTCAGAAGAATTTGATTTTGATAGGAACTCATTTTCCTGTTCTGTTTCTCATGTCTATAAATTCTGAGAGCAGATATGATAGAATCACTTTTTTTCTAGTTTCAATGCTGTATTTTCAGATTTGGTTTCCCCTCCTGCCCCTGCCCCCCAGTAGAGTCTTGTTGCCCAGAGCTGGAGTATAATGGTTCAATCTCACCTCACTGCAACCTCTACTTTTTTTTTTTTTTTTTTTTTTGAGACAGAGTTTGACTCTTGTTACCCAGGCTGGAGTGCAATGGCGCGATCTCGGCTCACCGCAACCTCCGCCTCCTGGGTTCAGGCAATTCTCCTGCCTCAGCCTCCCGAGTAGCTGGGATTACAGGCACGTGCCACCACGCACAGCTAATTTTTTGTATTTTTAGTAGAGACGGGGTTTCACTATGTTGACCGGGATGGTCTCGATCTCTCGACCTCGTGATCCACCTGCCTCGGCCTCCCAAAGTGCTGGGATTACAGGCTTGAGCCACGGCGCCCGGCTGCAACCTCTACTTTTGGGGTTCAAGCAGTTCTCCTGCCTCAGCCTGCACTCCACCATGCCTGGCTAATTTTTGTATTTTTAGTGGAGATGGGGTTTCACCGTGTTGGCCATGCTGGTCTCAAGCTTCTGAGCTCGTGATCTGCCTGCCTTGGGCTTCCAAAGTGCTGGGATTACAGGTGTGAGCCACTGCACCCAGCCACCATATTTTCAGTTTTTATTTCAGGTAACCTTACTGTGAAAGCTGTAAGGAAACATTATAGAATAATAATGTTAGCAGAGAGACCTGGAAGGGACAGCTGTAATGATGATCTAGTCCCTCTGCTTGCTTGATACTAGGGAAGGGTCAGGCCTGGTCCTGCTGAGTGATGTGCCACTTGCAGGGAGTTACTGGCAGAGCCAGGACAGAACTCAGGTTCCTCAGTTTGCATGTGGCCTGGTAAAAAGCGAATCATTAGGAGGAAAACCTTCTAAGGCCTGAGTTTATTCTGAATGCCTTTCTGGAGTGTGTAGCAATACAGGGCAGATTTTATGTTTTTTCATGATAAAATTATAGTATATTTTTGTTGTTTCTACAACACATTATTTCATCTATTTTTGTGCTCTTAGGTTTTCTTCAGTTTGATTACACATCATAAAAATATTTTTATTAGTAGTACATCCCTAATTTTTTCCACTTTTATTTAGTTGTTTTTTCTTTTTTATTTTCTCTTTTAAAAATTTTTTTATTATTTTTTTCTTTATACTTGCCGTACATGAGCAATCTTTCTTTCTTTATTTTTGAGACTGAGTCTCACTCTGTCTCCCAGGCTGGAGTGCTGTGGCATGATCTCAGCTCACTGCAACCTCCTCCTCATGTGTTCAAGTGATTCTCCTGCCTCAGCCTCCCAGTAGCTGGGACTACAGGCACGCACCACCACACCCAGCTAATATTTCATATTTTCATTAGAGACTGGGTTTCGCCATATTAGCCAGAATGGTCTCAATCTCCTGACCTCGTGATCCGCTCGTCTTGGCCTCCCAAAATGCCAGGATTACAGGCATGAGCTACCATGCCTGGCCAGTTCTTTTTTTACTTTCACTTTATTTCTAGTCATAAACATAAGAATGATACAACTTTGGGGATGATTCTGGAGCCATTTGTTCAAAAAGAAAAAAACAGAAAAAAACTTTGGGGATGGTAGAAGAGAAGGAAGAATACAATACAGGAAGGATGATATTTGGGAACCTTTTGCCAATGTACAAGATTATTTAAAAGTGCACACATTATTTAATAGTACTATAGTTAGCATGCCCAGAATAAATCATCCCCTTTTCCTCCCTTCTAAAAATTAAATCTAAAATTATATCCATTATTTCCATAAATTTATTCATTGTTTAATTCAACAAATATTTGAGCATCAGTCATATAACAGGCCCTGTTCTAAGCATTTATGTTCAGGTGAATGAAACAAAGTCCTTGTCTTCAAGTAGTTGACAATTAATGGTGCAGAGGACAATAAATAAGTAAATATAGATTGTGTTAGTGGAGAGTACATTTCCAAATAACATATTAGGGAGGAACTCTGAAGAGTGATGTTTGATCAGAGACGTAAAAGAAAAAAATGAGTGGAAAAAGAACATTCTTCAGGTAGAAGAAGAGAAACAGCCCTCAAGGGGAAGTTGCTCCCTGTTTTTTGAGAAACAGCAGTCATCATGGATGGTGAAGTCAGAAGGGGAGCCAGGGACCAAATTGTTTGGTCCTGGTAGGTGACGGGAAGGACTGTGGGTTTTATTCTAGGTGTGGTGAGAATCTGGAAGGTTTGAACAGGGAGTGCGACATCTGATTCAGAGGAAAACTGGTCCTTTTGCTTTGCACTATGTTATTTCTCAGTGCTTTATACTGTTGTATATCTTTTCTCATTGTAGATTGTCTATGCTGAAAGACCTCTCACAGACAACCACAGATCATTGGCTTCTTATGGCTTAAAAGATGGCGATGTTGTGATTTTACGACAGAAGGAGAATGCAGACCCTCGACCTCCAGTGCAGTTCCCAAGTAAGACACCTTGTGGTTGAACATCCCCCAGCACAACCACCAGCAGGTAGCAGAGCATAGCGCCTCAGAGTTTTGGATTCAGACTGCAGAATACGGATCTTGACTCTGCCTTTTCCCTGCTGTGTAACCTTGGATAATATCCCTAAATTGATTTCCTCTTCTATAAAATAGGTGCCGTAATTAACCCTAATTCCTAAAGCTGACCTGAGGAACCCCAACTCCTAAAGCTGACCAGAGGCTAATGCTTGTAAAATTTTCAGCACGTAGCAAGCTTCTTGTTATCTTCTGTTAACAAGCTAACAAATGTTAGCTTCTGTTATCAGTGATACTTACACAATAATCTTTATCCTTGGTAAGGACTTGAACTTGAGAGAATACGTAAGCCTATGATTTTGCTACTTTGTGTCTCTGTCCTTCAGTGGCCAGCCCTTATGAAGCATTTTATAGCCAGCCAGGCACTTGTAGCTGCATTTCACATGATCTCATAACTTGGTTGTGGGGAAATTTACATAATGATTTACAGTTATGAAGCTCAGATTTTAAATAGTGTCTTTAAAGTTACAGAGCTGTAAAGTCAGGGCACAGGAATTAAAATTTGATGCTTTTTCTGTTATGCTGAACTTGATAAACATTAATCAGCTTGACCAAGTTCTGGCTCTTTCCTACTAGCTGTGTTAATCACATATAAAGAAACATTTATCTTTGATGCACCTTTTATAATAGATGTTTGTAGTCTGAAATCTGTGCATTGGGATTTAGTAGGTTTCTGTATCACTGAAATAATATACAGAATTGTGTGGGTATGAACGTGTGTGTGCACTGGATAGAGAGAGGGTCATAGTTTTGTTCAGAAACTTAAAGTGGCTCATGATCCACAAAATGTTTATAAGGTCTTAATGTGAAACAGCTTGGTGAAATGTGTGATTTTTTTTTTTTCCCCCATTCTCTGCCATATTGTGATAGATTTTCTTAAACAGTGTTTAGCCTGTAGGTCACCAGTTTTAAAGTTTATAGTGACAGATGCTGGCAGTCTGGGTGATGCCTGACTGCAGCTTTGAGCACAGTGTTTCCATTCGGCCCGAAATTGGAACTTTTTGAGACCATCAAGGACTGGCTCCACCAGATCTGGAAGACATTCATCCCTTGGGGCCACAGTTGTATTTAAACAACTATGACAATCAGTGAAAACCACATCTTCCTTTGGTTAATTTGATGAGATTGTTAATTCCGAATTTACTTGTTTTTTTGTTTGGTTTTGTTTTGTGTTTTCTGTATTGTTGCATATGGATAACAGAGCCAACAGGTTGAGGTGGGAGTGATCTGGTCTATTAAGTAAACATGTTTTTGAGAATTATTCTGAAGTGAATGGACTCTCAAGATAATGTATAACTGGGGGTGGAGATAAAATTTCTTGACCTACGAAGAGGGCCCACCCATATCTTTTTCTGGCTGGTGTAGATTAACTGCCTCACAGATCATCCTGTTCACTTAACCTTTTCCTTGGTTGGGAATTGAAGAAAGTGGCTAGTTGGACCCCTGCTAAAGGGTAGCAATGTTACATCTGAGTTTAAGCATTCTCTTTTTCTATCTGAGGTCCAAAAAGGCTTCAGGACTTGAGACGTTTGTTTTTTGGTTTTTCTTGTTTTTTTTTTTTTTTTAGTTTATATAAAATCCTTGATAGTGTAAATATTGTGCTATAATTCTAATCACTGTGGAATTGCTTCTTGTACTGTCATTTATAACATTAAACACAATTATCTTTTTAAAAAGTATTCAGTTGTTGAGACAAATTTGACCATCAAATATATTTTTGGAGTTGAAGGGATCTTGATTGACTCCGGCCTAGCCCCTCATTCTGGCTCTCCTTGTTTACTTTTCTGCTTTTCTTTTCTTTTCTTTTTTTTTTAATAACAGTTTTGTTGAGATACAGTTCACTCATTTAAAGGATTTTGTACTATAATCATGAGTTGTGCAGCCATCACCACAATCCATTTTAGCATATCTTCATTACCTAAAAAAGAAACCCTATGCCCGTTTATAGTCATTTCCCATTTCTCCCTGGGCTCTACAGCCTAGACAACTACAAGTCTACTTTTTGTCTCTATGTATTTACCTGTTTGGGACATTTCATATAAATGGGATCATACAATATGTAGGTCCTTTGTGCAAGGATTAAAATTCTCTTTTATCTTCCTTTCATTTTAATAAGGTCAGCTTAGCCTGGCATATAGGACCTGGGAGCTGTAGCTTCTAAACCGTGGTAGCTTTTGGTATACTCAGCACTGAGAACCTATGCAAGTCCCTTTTCTTCTTTCTTTCCTATAAAATGACACCATTTAGCTCCCCAGGGGCATGAGAAGAGTTAGCAGAGATGCACAGATGAAAGTATAAATCCAGAGAACTTTTAAGAACTTCCCTGAGCCAATACCTTTAGCACTGACTTGAAGAATTTAGTATCTAACATTTATACCGCTCACTTGATATGTAAGATATTCTTAGTTCTGGCCAGGCGCGGTGGCTCACGCTTGTAATCCCAGCACTTTGGGAGGCCGAGGTGGGTGGATCACCTGAGGTAAGGAGTTCAAGACCAGCCTGGGCAACATGGTGAAACCCCATCTCTACTAAAAATACAAAAAATTAGCTGGGTATGGTGGCAGATGCCTGTAATCCCAGCTACTTGGGAGGCTGAGCAGGAGAATCACTTGAACCTGGGTGGTGGAGGTTGCAGTGAGTCAGGATTGCACCGTTGCATTCCAGGCTGTGCAACAAGGTGATACTCCATCTCAAAAAAAAAAATTCTTTGATCCAAGCATCAAGGATCTCTGAACCATATGTCAGACCAGAGTAGGATTTTTCTCAAGAACAACATCCAGATGTATGCAATTATATTTTTTGAAACTAGCTTTAATTATTTAAAAACAATAAAAACCTGATGTCTATTATGAGGTATTTTATAAGCTGAAAATTTGGGGTTACAAGGGCCGGGCGCGGTGGCTCAAGCCTGTAATCCCAGCATTTTGGGAGGCCGAGGCGGGCGGATCACAAGGTCAAGAGATCGAGACCATCCTGGTCAACATGGTGAAACCCCGTCTCTACTAAAAATACAAAAAATTAGCTGGGCATGGTGGTGCATGCCTGTAATCCCAGCTACTCAGGAGGCTGAGGCAGGAGAATTGCCTGAACCCAGGGGACGGAGGTTGCGGTGAGCCGAGATCACGCCATTGCATTCCAGCCTGGGTAACGAGCGAAACTCCGTCTCACCAAAAAAAAAAAAAAAAGAAAAAAAAAAAAAGGAAAATTTGGGGTTACTACCATCATCTTCCCTCTATTTTTCTTCCTTCCTATCAATTCATTCTCAGCCTGCAGTCTTTTTTTTTTTTTTGGAGACAGAGTTTCGCTCTTGTTACCCAGGCTGGAGTGCAATGGTGCGATCTCGGCTCACCGCAACCTCCGCCTCCTGGGTTCAGGCAATTCTCCTGCCTCAGCCTCCTGAGTAGCTGGGATTACAGGCACGCGCCACCAAGCCCAGCTAATTTTTTGTATTTTTTAAGTAGAGACGGGGTTTCACCATGTTTACCAGGATGGTCTCGATTTCTTGACCTCGTGATCCACCCGCCTCGGCCTCTCAAAATGCTGGGATTACAGGCATGAGCCACTGCGCCCGGCCCGCCTGCAGTCTTTATAGTCAGGGTCAGCATGAGAAAGAACAAGGGTGAAGTCTACAGTTAACCTGCTGCTGCTGTCAAATACCATGTATGAGCAAGTGTTCTGCTTTTTCCTTCAAGTGCTTGTTTTTATAGAGTCATTTGAGTAAACTGAATTGATTTTCCCCCACAGACTTACCCCGCATAGATTTCAGTAGTATAGCTGTGCCTGGCACATCAAGTACCCGGCCGCGCCAGCCACCAGGAACACAGCAGTCCCACTCATCTCCTGGAGAAATCACTTCATCTCCTCAGGGCTTGGACAATCCAGCCTTGCTCCGAGATATGTTGCTGGCCAACCCGCATGAGCTGTCCTTGCTGAAGGAACGCAATCCACCCTTGGCAGAAGCTCTGCTCAGTGGAGACCTTGGTAAGCTTATAAATTTGGAAGACTGATAGGCTGGCCTGAGGTGAAAAAGATGTGTCATAACAAACGTGAAGAGACTGCAGCAATACTGTGTCACATGATTTATTGAACATACCAGTTTGTTCTCTGTGAGAGGTAAATTAGTGCTGAAATCAAAGGCTGAGTTAATTGGAAATAGCAATAGAGCTATAGGAGTGAAATCCATCTAGGCCACCCCCCTCAGTTTACTTTTTGTTTTCCTCACTGTTTTTGGCAGCACACAACTTGTTTAGTTAGATCTTCATTTAAAGAGAGCACCAACAAGCCAGCTGATGCCAGTTGGCATTTTTTTTTTTTTTTTTTTTTAAGTTACAAGAAACAGGTTTAGTGCCCTGTATGACAAAATGGAACCCCCATAACCTCAGTCCACTCCAGGTTATTTTTTGTAGAGATGGAGTTTTGCCATGTTGTCCAGCCTGGTCTCAAACTTCTAGGCTCAAGCAGTCTGCCTGCCTTAGCCTCCCAAAGTGCTGGGATTACAGGCATGAGCTGTCACACCCAGCCAACTTTTAGTCATCTTTATGAATTGAGTTTTCTCTGTAAATTTCTCTCATTTTACTCTTGGGTTTACGAGTTAAATTGGGTTAAGTTTAAAAACATAACAGACACTTAATGACTCATTCCTCAATTGACTGTTGTTAAATTGGCAATCTTTACCTTACAGAGAAGTACACAGATTTTAAATATACAATTCCTTGAGTTTTGGCAAACTCCTTTAACCCCAATCAAGACACAGGACATTTCTCTCCCTCTAGAAAGTTCTATGGTGTTCCATTCTAGTCAGTTTCCTCTCCTTATAGGTTACTACTATTTTGATAATCTAACAGTTTAGTTTTGCCTGTTTTTAAATTCCATGTATTTGGAATTGTAGCATGTCTGCCCTTTGATTTAGGCTTCTTTCACTCACTGTTTTTTAGATTCATCTGTACTGTGTGTATTAGTAGTTCAGATAACTGTTGTTATAATTTCTTTTAATTTCTTATGTCAGCATATCTAATTACCAAAGACCGTGTGATGGGGCATTTAAATTTGCACACTTAAGTGTACCACCATTTAAGAAATTGCAGAATAGATTCTTGTAACACACATCTTGTAGCAAGCAGTGTTTTCTCTATTAAATTTCCTCCCTATTCTTTTTTTTCTTTTAGTATTTCAGCTTTTCAGAACACACAAAATATAGGTAGACTAACAATAGTTTATACTTAATTCGTCTGGCTTAAGGCAGGGCATATTATAAAGGAAATGAAACTAGAAGAGGAAAAGGGGATTAAATAATGCTCTGTTGGGCAGGGCGTCGTGGCTCAAGCCTAAATCCCAGCACTTTGGGAGGCCGAGGCGGGCGGATCACAAGGTCAAGAGATCGAGACCATCCTGGTCAACACGGTGAAACCCTGTCTCTACTAAAAATACAAAAAAATTCGCTGGGCATGGTGGCGCGTGCCTGTAATCCCAGCTACTCAGGAGGCTGAGGCAGGAGAATTGCCTGAACCCAGGAGGCGGAGGTTGCAGTGAGCCGAGATCGCGTCGTTGCACTCCAGCCTGGGTAACAAGAGCGAAACTCCGTCTCAAAAATAAATAAATAAATAAATAATGCACTGTTTTGTTTCTAGGTAATAGGATAATGAGGACAATGGGGAGGGGAGGAGAGGAGTGGAGACATTTATCTGCCACATGGATAGTCATTCCCCATTGATTTAAATTGGAAAGTTGCTACCTCTGAGTAGAAACAGTATGATAGATAACTTCTTATAAAAGATTTTTGCAAATAATTTTTTATTTTATTTATTATTTTTTAATTTATTTTTATTTTTTCTCTTATTTTGAGACAGAGTTTCACTCTTGTTACCCAGGCTGGAGTGCAATGGTGTGATCTTGGCTCACTGCAACCTCCGCCTCCTGGGTCAGGCAATTCTCCTGCCTCAGCCTCCCAAGTAGCTGGGACTACAGGCACGTGCCACCGTGCCCAGCTAATTTTTTGTATTTTTAGTAGAGATGAGGTTTCACTATGTTGACCAGGATGGCCTCGATCTCTTGACCTCGTTATCCACCCGCCTCGGCCTCCCAAAGTGCTGGGATTACAGGCGTGAGCCACTGCACCCGGCTTAATTTTTTATTTTTTAAGACAGAACCTCACTCCGTCACCCAGGCTGGAATGTGTGATATAATCACAGCTCACTGTAGCCTCGACCTTCTGGGCTCAAGCTATCCTCCCACCTTCGAACCCCCTCACCTGACAGTAGCTGGGACTACAGGCACACACCACCATGCCTGGCTAATTTTTATACTTTTCATAGAGACAAGATCTTGTTGCATTGCCCAGGCTGATCTCAAACTCCTAGGCTCAAACAGTCCTCCCACCTCAGACTCCCAAAGTGTCCAGATTATAGGCATGAGCCACCACACCCAGCCACAAATGCTTTCTTTACACTGAACTTAAATGATGAAATAGCCTTGACTCAGAGAATAGAAAGTAAATGTAATTGCTCATTTCAAATAAGTTTTAGGCATCCTCTCTGCATCTCTTAAAGTTGTAGTTTGAGAAATTGTTTAGTGTGGAAAAGTACTGATAAATACTGAAAATCTAGTGATACTTAAGATTTTTCCGCCTTATTTTTGTAGAGAAATTTTCTAGAGTCCTGGTGGAGCAGCAGCAGGACCGAGCCCGGAGAGAGCAAGAAAGGATTCGTCTGTTTTCTGCTGATCCCTTTGACCTTGAAGCTCAGGCCAAGATAGAAGAAGACATAAGGTAATGACCTGTTGTTCGTCTAAAGAATAAGACTCGATTCTAGATTTCCCAAACTGCAGGTTATCTGGCATTAGTTGGGCATCTGTTTGGAGGTAGCTTCTCTGTTTTGCAGTTGAGATAGTAACCTCAGTCTTTTATGTTATTCCCTCCTCTTTCATTTACTACACATTTTGATTCAGCATGACAAAGATGTAGTTCTTAGTTTAGTAACTTTCTGTTCTAAAACTGTAAGGAAGACTCCCTGATTGGCAGACAGAGCATCATAACACAGCTCTAGATAAGTGACCTGGACTGAGCAGAAGCCACCATCTGGTGAGACCGTAAGGCTGGTTACATATTACATGGGCTGATTTGACTCTCTTTCCTTAGACTTGTGGTATAAGTCCTGATTAAATCCAGGGCTTGAACATGATTGGATTAGAGAGGGCTCTGCGAGGATGGAACATTTGTGGTCCGAAGTCTGTTTTCCTGCTGCACTTCTTGTGCTGGCCTCAGTGGATAAACTGAATGCTGGACATGTTTCCAGCCCTCAGTTTCTGGAATTCAGTGGTTCCCACCTGGGCTTATAGTAAAATCACATGAGAAGATTTTAAAAATGCAGATGCTTGGGCTCTTCTCCCGAATCTGATGAATCACAATTGTCGGGCAGGGAGCCTAAGCAAGGATGGTGACGCTGTTCCGGCCTCAGTCACACTGCTAGTCACAAGCAAGATTCTTTTGTCTGAAAAAAAGGACACCTGTTTTTCCCTCCTTGAGTCAGTTTTTGTTCCTAATTGTGAAGAACGTAATATAACTAAGAAGAAGATGACAGCAATGATACTTACTACTCTTAGACTGCTTAGCCTTTCAGGGACTGTGTCATCATTTTGGTTACTTAAATGAAGCCTAACTTGGTCATTATGTTACACTATCGACTTAGAAATCAAATCATGCTGGCTGGGGGCAGCTGCTCATGCCTGTAATCCCAGCACTTTGGGAGGCCAAGGCAGGTGGATCACAAGGTCATAAAATAGAGATCAAATCATGCTTTTTTTTTTTTTTTTTTTTTTTTTTTTTTTTTTTTTTATGAGGCAGAGTCTCGCTCTGTTACCCAGGGTGGAGTGCAGTGGTGTGATCTCGGCTCACTGCAACCTCTACCTCCTGGGTTCAAACAATTCTTCTGCTCTTGAGTACCTGGGATTATAGGCACCTGCCACCACGCCCAGCTAATTTTTTTTTTGTTTTTTTTGTTTTTTTGTTTTTTGTTTTTGAGACAGAGTCTCGCTCTGTCACCAGGTGCCAGGCTGGAGTGCAGTGGCTCAATCTTGGCTCACTGCAACCTCTGCCTCCCAGGTTCAAGCTATTCTCCTACCTCAGCCTCCCGAGTAGCTGGGACTACAGGCACACACCACCATGGCCAGCTAATTTTTGTATTTTTAATAGAGATGGGGTTTCACCATGTTGGCCAGGATGGTCTCGATCTGTTGACCTCGTGATCTGCCCGCCTCAGCCTCCCAAAGTGCTGGGATTACAGTCATGAGCCACTATGCCTGGCCTAATTTTTTTGTATTTTTAGTAGAAATGAGATTTTGCCATCCTGGCTAGGCTGGTCTCAAACGGCTGACCTCGTGATCCACCTGCCTCAGCCTTCCAAAGTGCTGGGATTACAGGCATGAGCCACTGCGCCTGGCCCTCAAATCATGCCTTTTTAAACTTCTTATTCGTTTTTGTTTTTTCTTTTTTTTCTTTTCTTTTTCTTTTTATTTTTTTTTAAAGACGGGGTTTCACCATGTTGGTCAGGCTGGTCTTTAACTCCTGACCTCAGGTGATTCTCCTGCCTTGGCCTCCAAAGTGCTTGGATTACAGGCGTGAGCCACCATGCCCAGCCTACTTCTTATTCTTTTATTATTTTATTTATATATTTATTTTGAGACAAGGTCTTACTGTGTCACACAGGCTAGAGTGCAGTGGTGCAATCACAGCTCATTGAAGCCTGGTCTTCCCCCAGACTGAGGTGTTCTTCTCACTTTAGTCTCCCAAATAGCTGGGAACACAGGTGTCTGCCACCATACCCAGCTAATTTTTGTGTTTTTTGTGTAGAGACAGGATTTCATCATGTTGCCCAAGCTGGTCTTGAACTCCTGGGCTCACGAAATCTACGCACCCTGGCCTCCCAAAGTGCTGGGATTGCAGGTGTGAGCCACTGTGCCTAGCTCTTCCTTACTTTTTTAAAAAAATTTTTAACTTTTTTGAGATGGAATATCTTTCTGTCACCAGACTGGAGTGCAGTGGTGCCATCTCAGCTCACTGCAACCTCTGCCTCCCAGGTTCAAGCAGTTCTGCTACATCAGCCTCCCAAGTAGCTGGGACTACAGGTGCACACCACCACACCCAGCTAAGTTTTTGTATTTTAGCGAGATGGGGTTTCACCATTTTGGCCAGGACGGTCTCAATCTCTTGACCTCATGGTCTGCCTACCTCGGCCTCTCAAAGTGTTGGTATTACAGGCGTGAGCCACCGTGCCTGGCATGTTTATTTGTTTTGAGATGGGGCCTCCAACATTTAGGCTGGAGTGCAGTAGCACAATCATGGCTCATTACAGCCTCAACTTCTTGAGCTTAGGTGATCCTCCCACCGCAGCCTTCCAAGTAACTGGGACTACTGGTGCACCACCATGCCTGGGTGATTTTTCTTGTATTTTGCAGAGACAAGCTTTTGCCATATTGCCCGGTCTGGTCTTGAAGTACTGGGCTCGTGATCTGCCCAGCTCCCAGAGTGCTGGGATTACGGGAGTGTGCCACCACACTTGGCCCGAGATTTATTTTTTGTTTGTTTCAGGGTCAGCCCTGTAAAACAGGAAAAAAAAAAAAAAAAAAAAAAAAGAAGACAGTGTCTTGCTCTGTCGCCCAGGCTGGAGTGCAGTGGTGCCGTCATAGCTAACTACAGCCTCAGCATCCTAGGCCCAAGCAATCTTCTTGCCTCAGTCTCCTGAATAGCTGGGACTACAGGCATGTGCTACAACATCAGCTAATTTTAGGGATAAGGTCTCACTGTGTTGCCCAGGCTGGTCTTAAACTCCTGGCCTCAAGTGATCCTCCTGCCTTGGCCTCTTAAAGTGCTGGAAGGTGTGAGCCACTGTGCCTGGCCATAGTGGACTTTCTGTGAATGGGCAGATAGTAAATATTTCAGTCTTTGCAGACCATACAGTCTGTGTAGCTCGTGTTTAACTCTGCTACTGCCATGTGAAAGCAGCCATAGACAATAGGATAATATGTACATGCATGATATCACGGTGGGGTTTCCATAATTTTTGTGCCTAAACAGCAGGCTATGATATACCAACTGTAGATTTAGTGTAGTTTACCCCAAATCTTAGACCCTGTTGTTAGTGTCTCAGTCTTCAGGTAAGTTGCCCAGCCACTGACCTAGTTTCCATTAATGTTGGTAGTATTGGATAATTTTTTTTTCTTTCTTTCTTTTTTTTTTTTGAGACGGAGTTTCGCTCTTGTTACCCAGGCTGGAGTGCAATGGCGCGATGTCGGCTCACCGCAACCTCCGCCTCCTGGGCTCAGGCGATTCTCCTGCCTCAGCCTCCTAAGTAGCTGGGATTACAAGCACGCGCCACCACGCCCAGCTAGTTTTTTGTATTTTTAGTAGAGACGGGGTTTCACCATGTTGACCAGGATGGTCCCGATCTCTTGACCTCGTGATCTACCCGCCTTGGCCTCCCAAAGTGCTGGGATTACAGGCTTGAGCCACCGCGCCAGCCTTTTTTTTTTTTTTGAGATGGAGTCTTGCTCTGTCACCGGGCTGGAGTGCCATGGCGTGATCTCTGCCTCATGGTTCGGTTCAAGCAATTCTTCTGCCTCAGCCTCCTAAGTAGCTGAGGACTGTAGGCATATGCCACCATGCCTGTCTGATTTTTGTATTTTTAGTAGAGATGGGGTTTCACCATATTGGCCAGGCTTGTCTTGAATTCCTAACCTTGTGATCCGCCTGTCTCCGCCTCCCGAAGTGTTGAGATTACAGACATGAGCCACCGTGCCTGGCTGAGAATGTTTTTAAAAGGAGATTGATTCATGCTGCTCTAAGGGAATAGGTACAAATTGGGAATGAACACAAAATGTTGGCATAAGCAAGAACTCCCTTTTGTGTGCTTTTGTCATGTAAGAATTAGATTTGTGTTGATTTTTTTTTTTCCTTTCTTTTGGTGGAGAGAGATGGAGTTTCACCATTTTGTCCAGGCTAGTCTGAAACTCCTGAGCTCAAGGATTGGCCCACCTTGGCCTTCCAAAGTGCTGGAACTACAGTTGTGAGCCACTGCACCTGGCATGTTTATTTATTTTTTATTTATTTTGAGACAGCGTCTCCCTCTGATGCCCAGGCCAGAGTGCAGTGGTATGATCTCGGCTTGCTGCAACCTTCACCTCCCAGGTTCAAGTGATTCTTCTGCCTCAGTTTCCTGAGTGGTGGGATTAATAGGCGTGAGCCACCATGCTCGGCCAGCATGTTGATTTTTTAAACAAATTATTTCATGGATTAAATGAACTATGAACCACATGTAATTTTAAGCAATAGATGCAATTTTTTGTAGCATAAGCTGTTATGTGAGCACTGTATACTAGATGCTTTGTACCCCTTGGCAACCTAGGTAGCAATTATTAGCCTCACTTTACAGATTAGAAAACCCAGTCCTGGAGATGAAGTAGCAGGTGCAGCACAAGTAGTTGAAATCTCCGTGTGTTCTGTGTGCAAACTTTCTGTAATGTACTGGGCTTAGGAAATGTATTCAGGTACCCAGTAAATCCTCAGTTAATATTGGAACATTCCCGAAATTCTAGCAGGCTGCCAGATAAAGGGAGTTGTGACCCTTGCTCTCCAGTTTCTTATAAAGGAGGCAGCTTGCTTATAAAGGCAGCTCAGTGCTTTACAGAGGATAATTTTTATGCCTTTAAATTTTTTTTCCTCTTTCTTTTTTATTTTTCTCCTTTTTTCTTTGAGACGGAATTTCCCTCTTGTTGCCCACGCTGGAGTGTAATGGCACAATCTTGGCTCACTGCAACCTCCACCTCCCAGGTTCAAGTGATTCTCCTGCCTCAGACTCCCAGGTAGCTGGTATTACAGGCATATGCCACCACGCCCAGCTAATTTTGTATTTTTAGTAGAGACAGTGTTTCTCCATGTTGGTCAAGCTGGTCTCAAACTCCCGATCTCAGGTGATCTGCCTGCCTCAGCCTCCCAAAGTGCTGGGGTTACAGGTGTGAGCCACCACACCCGGCCTGCCTTTCCATTTTCTGCCAGCTGTTTATCTTACTGCCTCTTAGGAAATGATCTCTTGGTAGCCTAGAGCACCCGTTTTTCTATAACTCATCTGTTGTGGTTGAGACAAAAGATGTACAGATCTGTGTTTTAATATTGTGACTTTGAAACTGATTTCTCTTCATGGAATTAATGCTTTCAGTGTCCCTGGTCTTGGTCTGTTACAGGCAACAGAACATTGAAGAAAACATGACAATAGCTATGGAAGAGGCTCCAGAAAGTTTTGGTCAAGTAGTGATGCTTTATATTAACTGCAAAGTGAACGGACATCCTGTGAAAGCCTTTGTTGACTCAGGTGATGTCTCTTTCTTTTGTTTCTTGGTCTCCCTTCCGACATCCTTACCTGACAGGGATAAGGGGAGGCTCAAGCATCTGTTCAGATGGCTGTAGTTTTTGTTTTGTTTTGTTTTTTGTTTTTGGAGACAGAGTCTTCCTCTGCTCCCTAGTAGCTGAGATTATAAGTGCCCACCACCATGCCTGGCTAATTTTTATATCTTTAGTAGAGATGGGGTTTCACCATGTTGGTCAGACTGGTCTCGAACTCCTGACCTCACATGATCCACCCGCCTCAGCCTCCCAAATGCTTGGGTTACAGGTGTGAGCCACTGCACCTTACCCAGATGGCTATACAGCCTGACACTTACTGTTTCACTTGCTGGGCATTTTGTTGGTATTAGGTTTCTTTCTTTATCATTCTTCCTTTTTTTTTTTTTTTTTTTTAAAGGTGGAGTTTCACCATGATGGCCAGGCTGGTCTTGAACTCCTGACTTCAAGTGATCCACCCACCTCAAAGTGCTAGGATTACAGGCGCGAGCCACTGCGTCCGGGTTTTTTTTTTTTTTTTTTTTTTGGAAGAGACAGAGTCTCAGTCATCCAGGCTAGAGTGCAGTGGTGTGATCACCTCACTTCAGCCTCCAACTCCTGGGCTCAACTGATCCTCCATTCTCAGCCTCCCAAGTAGATGGAACTACAGGCGCATGCTACCACACCTGGCTGATTTATTGACTTTTGTTTTTTTTAAGACAGATTCTTGCTCTGTTGCCTAGGCTGGAGTGCAGTGGCACAATGTCGGCTCACTGCAACCTCCGCCTCCCGGGTTCATGCGATTCTCCTGTCTCAGCCTCTCGAGTAGCTGGGACTATAGGCATGTGCCACCATGCCCAGCTAATTTTTTGTGTTTTTGGTAGAGATGGGGTTTCACTGTGTTAGCCAGGATGGCCTTGATCTCCTGACCTCATGATCCACCTACCTAGGCTCCCAGAGTGCTGGGATTATAGGTGCAAGTCACTGCACCCCGCCAATTTTTAAACATTTGTGAAGACAGGGTTCCCCTGTGTTGTGCAGGCTGATTGGGAACTCCTGGCATCAACTGTCATTAAAAGTTTGTACCTTGAGGCTGGGTGTGGTGGCTCATGCCTTTAAGTCCAGCATTTTGGGAGGGTGAGATGGACGAATTGCTTGAGTCCAGGAGTTTGAGACCAGCATAGGCAACATGGTGAAACTTCACCTCTACAAAAAAATACAAAAATTAGTCCCAGCCACTAGGGAGGCTAAGGTGGGAGGATCAGCTGACCCTATGGTAGCTGAGGAGATCAGAGTTGCAGTGAGCTGTAATCGTGCCACTGTGCCCCAGCCTGGGCACGTGAGACCCTTCCTCAGGAAAAAAAAAAGGAGTTTGTATCTTGAGATACAGATATTCCTGAGAGAAGTAAATCTACTGATTATTCAGTTTAAAAAATGTCTGTTGAGTGCTGTGTGTAGGGCCTTGTACTGTGTGCTTGGTGATATGACTTGGTGACTGTCAAAGGGCTCCTGTGTGAGAGAGAAATACATAGGAGACACTAGTATAATACTCAATGTGTATTGATTCCTTATTGTGTGCCAAGCACCATGCTAGGTGCTTAATATAATCATCTTACTTGGTTTTATTTCATCCTCAGAACATCTCTATGTACTTTGTTCTGTAATTCCTATTTTACCCAAAAGGAAACTTATATAGAGAGAGATCACACTCTCTACTCTGTATTTTACACATAAGGAAGCTTAGTCTTCCAGGTATAGAGTTTGTGAGTGGTGGACTTTGGATTCAGCCCCAGGTCCCCTTGATGTCAGAAATCTTTTTTTTTTTTGAGACAGAGTTTCACTCTTGTTACCCAGGCTGGAGTGCAATGGCGCGATCTCGGCTCACCGCAACCTCCGCCTCCTGGGTTCAAGCAGTTCTCCTGCCTCAGCCTCCTGAGTAGCTGGGATTGCAGGCATGTGCCACCATGCCCAGCTAGTTTTTTGTATCTTTTTTTTTTTTTTTTTTTTTTTGAGACGGAGTTTCGCTCTTGTTACCCAGGCTGGAGTGCAATGGCAATTTTTTGTATCTTTAGTAGAGATGAGGTTTCACCATGTTGACCAGGATGGTCTCGATCTCTTGACCTCGTGATCCACCCGCCTCAGCCTCCCAAAGTGCTGGGATTACAGGCTTGAGCCACCGCGCCCGGCCTGGTCTCGATCTCTTGACCTCGTGATCCACCTGCCTCGGCCTCCCAAAGTGTTGGGATTACAGGCATGAGCTACCGCGCCTGTCTGATGTCAGAAATCTTAACCACTGTGCAAATATCTGGTGAATGTTGGATGGCAATAGAGACCACATTCTCACTCTGACCAAGGTACTCAGGAGAGTCTTCCCCAAAGACGGCATTTGAGCTGAGGCATTGGAAAATGTAGGAGAGCAGTGAAAGGAGCCCTTCTTATCTGGGTTGCTTTAATAACTTGCCTTTGTAGACTAAAGTGAAAAAGGAGGAAGAAAAGAGAGAACTGCCTTTCCAAATTCCTGTTTCCTTTGTTATTTCTGGGCCTTCTTGAATCTAACCTTTCTCAAATGCCAAGAACTTTTATTGCTTATAAAGTGTAGGGTACCTGTGAGTAATATGAGCAGGTAGTTTTGGAACTGAGTGAGAGGCAAGGTCATTGCAAAGGAGCAGTCAGTTGGGCAGGAAGTGGGTCTTGAACTGGACCTTGAAGCATTGGTGGAATTCAGCAAAACTGAAAGCAGGAGATAGAGCATTTTACAGGAGAGTCAAAATAAGTGAGTGGCAAAGGGAGCACATTCCTCCTGCTGAAGCAGAGGATTTGGAGTAGTTAGAATGTAAGACCGGAAGGAAACGATGGGACCAGGATGGGGTGGGATCTGAAGCCATAGTGATGGCAATTTGAAACTAATCTCATAAGGAGTGAAAATCGTTGAGGACTTTTAAGCAGATAAAGAAGTAAGTGATTTGAAAATGGTAATATTGGCCCAGGACAGTGACTCAAACCTGTAATCCCAGCACTTTGGGAGGCCAAGGCAGGCAGATTGCTTGAGATCAGGAGTTCAAGGCCTGGCCAACATGGTGAAACCTCCATCTCTACTAAAAATACAAAATTATTTTTTGTATTTTTAGTAGAGATGGAGGTTTCACCATGTTTACAGGCATGGTGGTGGTACACCTGTAATCCCAGCTACTTGGGAGGCTAAGGCAGGAGATTTTCTTGAACCCAGGAGGCAGAGGTTGCAATGAGCTGAGATTGTGCCACTGTACTTCCAGCCTGGGGAACAGAGCAAGACTCTGTCTCCAAAAAAAAAGTGATATTTTAGGAAAACTAAAGGTAGACAGATCTGGAGAATTCTGTACCCCTAAGGGTCAGAACAATTTCCTTGCTTTAAATTATGCGTCCACAGAGTGGTTTGGAAGCCAGAAAAATTGTCCTCTTGCAAGGGAATGGCAGTGTGAGCTAGGCTGATTAGTATGGTTAGAAGAAAGCATCAGGACAGGCGGCGTGGCTCATGCCTGTAATCCCAGCACTTTGGGAGGCCAAGGCAGGTGGATCACCTGAGGTCAGGAGTTCAAAACCAGCCTGGCCAACATGGTGAGGCCCCATCTCTACTAAAAATACAAAAATTAGCTGGGCATTGTGGCCCATGCCTGTAATTCCAGCTTCTTGGGAGGCTGAGGCAGGAGAATTGCTTAAACCTGGGAGGTGGAAAGGTTGCAATGAGCTGAGATTGCACTATTGCACTCCAGCCTGGGCAACAAGAGCAAAACTCCATCTCAAAAAAAAAAAAAAGGAAGAAGAAGAAAGAGCATCAGAAATATTATAAATTGCATAGACCTTATTTACAGGCTAGAGAAAAGAAAGAAGACTAGGAGAAGAGTCTAAGTGAACAATGCTCAGGTTTTATGGCTGCGAGAAAATAATCCCATTGGCAAAGACAGAGAAATCCAAAGTGGGAATTAGTTGAGGAGCAAGAGTTTTATGCCTGTTGGCTTTGACATAGAAATATCCTAAGTGCCCTCATATTTAAAGGGAAGAGGGTCTAATTCTTGGAGCAGAGTATGGAAGTCCACTTCTAACTTTTTGGGAGACTGCATGATGTATTTATAAATAGTAGACTGCAGTGTCCCAATGTGGGTTTTTTTTTTGTTTTTAATTTTACTTTTTGAACAGGTGAAATAGTAGATAATGCACTTACTTGCTTACATAGTGAGATGGGATCTTACTATGTTGCCCAGGCTGGTTTCCCACTCCTTGGCTCAGGTGATCCTCCTGTCTTCACCTCCTAAAGGATGATTACAGGCGGGAGCCACTACACCTAGCCCAAAGTTTGTTATAAAAACAACTTGCTAGGGCCAGGCACTGTGGCTCACATCTGTAATCTCAACATTTTGGGAAGCTGAGGTGGGTGAATCACTTGAGGTATGGAGTTTGAGACCAGGCTGGCCAACATAGTGAAACCCTGTCTCTACTAAAAATACAAAAATTAAGCCGAGCGCGGTGGCTCAAGCCTGTAATCCCAGCACTTTGGGAGGCCGAGGCGGGTGGATCACAAGGTCGAGAGATCGAGACCAACCTGGTCAACATGGTGAAACCCCGTCTCTACTAAAAATACAAAAAATTAGCTGGGCATGGTGGTGCGTGCCTGTAATCCCAGCTACTCAGGAGGCTGAGGCAGGAGAATTGCCTGAACCCAGGAGGCGGAGGTTGCAGTGAGCTGAGATCGTGCCATTGCACTCCAGCCTGGGCAACAAGAGCGAAACTCCGTCTCAAAAAAAAAAAAAAAAAAAAAATACAAAAATTAGCTGGATATGGTGGCCCAAGCCTGTGATCCTAGCTACTCAAGAGGCTGAGGCAGGAGAATCACTTGAAGCCTAGAGATGCTTGGTAAAAATTGCAAAGTGCTGCTTAACTTAGCATTACCATCTATAGACACGGGTCATCATTGCTTTCTACTGGTAAAGTTTTAAAATGTCTTTTAATTATTACATCGCTACAGAATATTCTTTCCCTCAATGTCAAATTTCACACAGTGTTTCAGATTACAGAGTGGAACTGAAAGTTGAATTAAGTGGGGCAAGACACTTGCTAGGTAGAAATGATTTTATAGAGACAAAAGCCTCGGGGTATACTTGCTTTCACCTTGTTATTAATTAGTGCTGTATTCTCACAAATGTGGATTTTGTTTTTATTGTCTGATGTTTCTCTACCCTTGCAGGTGCCCAGATGACTATTATGAGCCAAGCTTGTGCAGAAAGGTGTAATATAATGAGACTGGTGGACCGTCGGTGGGCAGGGATTGCCAAAGGAGTGGGCACCCAGAAGATTATTGGAAGGGTACATCTAGGTGAGCAAAAGGCACTGGGGCTTGCTGTCTTTCTGTAGGCTCTTTGTAGGTAGGGTAGTAGATTTTCAAGTTTTTAGAGGGCTTTTTGTTGTTCTTATTTTGTTGTTGCTATTTTAAATTTCTTTTGTGTAGGTATGTCTGAGCCAGCAAGCTTAATTTCTAGATGTTTTAAATCCTGTGTTCTGTCAAAGTTATGTGTTTCTGCTGGTTCCAAAAAAACTAGTCTCCTCTACATTTGTATTTCCTGAAAAGATAATCCCATTATTTTAGCTGATTTGTTTTGATGCTTACCTCCATATTTCTAAATGGCATGTTTATTTTACTGTTTACTCATATGACTGTGTAAATGTTTTTGAGAGCTGAGCCATCTAATTGAATAGCTAGTATTTTTTTTTTTCTTTCATGGCCAGTATTATTTTATCTTAAAATTAATAATTGTCCTATTTTTCTCACTTGGTTTCTTGCATGGAATTCATCCCAGACATTTCCTAATTATGTAAATCTCCTTTAAATAGATTCAAGCACATTGGATAGTCTGTACATTTCATCCTATCAAAGACACTTCTTGAGCCTGGACTGGCAGTTTCAGGCCAGCTTCAGAGCTGTTGTTTTGGAATTTAACTTGACTGAGTCCTGCAGACTCCTTTCTCTTCTCTCCTGTGTTCGATTACCTGAATCCCTTGTCTTCCTCTTTTTTATCTGCTCCTCAGTTTTTTGGAGTGTATCTTCCAGTAACATCCTTAGAAGATGTGCATGGGAGTAAATTAAGACTAAGTATCAGACATATCTTTTTTCTCTATACATTCTACTTGTCTGCCTAGGTTGGAAATCATTTTCCTTCACAATTTTGAGACATTGTCCCTTAACCTTTTCACTGTCAGTGTTGCTATAGTGAGGCTAGATGCTATTCTGATTCCTGATCCTTTATGTGAAAGCTTTTTCTTTTTTTCGAGATAGCCTTTTCTGTTGCCCAGGCTGGAGTGCAGAAACACAATTTCAACTCACAACCTCCACCTCCCGCGTTCAAGTGATTCTCCTGCCTCAGCCTCCCTGAGTAGCTGGGATCATAGGCATGTACCATCATGCCCAGCTAATTTTTGTATTCTTACTAGAGACAGGGTTTTACCATATTGACCAGGATGATCTCTTTCAAACTCCTGGCCTCAAGTGATCCACCCGCCAGGCCTCCCAAAGTGCTGGGATTACAGGTGTGAGCCACCATACCTGGCCTTGTTTTCCTTTTTTGAAGCTTGTAAATCTTCCCTTTGACTGCAGTGTTTTGAACTTTCACAATGACATACTTGGGTGTGGATCTCTTCTCATATACTGTACTAGGCACTTGGTAACCTTTTCATTCTAGAAGCTCACATCCTTCAGTTCTGGGGACTTGCTCTGAATTATTTTGACTATGATTTTGTACCCTCTGGAATGTCAGTTATTCAGATAGGATAATCTATCCTGAACTTATCTTCTAGTTTTCTTCTCTTTTGTTTTTCTGTGGGATTTCTTCAACTTTGTCTTCCAACCTTTGTGTTGCACTTTGTATTTATTTATATTTTACTTTAGATGGTTTTCTTTTTTTTTTTTGAGACGGAGTTTCGCCCTTGTTACCCAGGCTGGAGTGCAATGGCGCGATCTCGGCTCACCACAACCTCCGCCTCCTGGGCTCAGGCAATTCTCCTGCCTCAGCCTCCTGAGTAGCTGGGATTACAGGCACGTGCCACCATGCCCAGCTAATTTTTTGCACTTTTAGTAGAGACGGGGTTTCACCATGTTGACCAGGATGGTCTCGATCTCTCGACCTCGTGATCCACCCGCCTCGGCCTCCCAAAGTGCTGGGATTACAGGCTTGAGCCACCGCGCCCTGCGCTAGATGGTTTTCATAAGTGTCTTGTGATCCTTGAAATCTGTTCACATCTAAGAGTGGGTCACTGGCTGGGTGTGGTGGCTCACACCTACGATCTCAGTGCTTTAGGAGGCTTATGTGGGACAATGGGTTGAGGCCAGGAGTTTGAGACCAGCTTGGGCAACATAGGGAAAACTCATCTCTATAAAAAAATTTTTTTTAATAGTTGGGTGTGGTAGCAAGTGCCGATAGTCCCAGCTGCTTGAGAGGCCGAGGCAGGAGTATTGCTTGAGCCAGGGAGATAGAAGCTGAGTGAGTTGTGTTCCTACTAAAGCATTCCAGCTTGGGCGACAGCAAGACCTTGTCTCAAAAAAAAGAGTGGGCCACCAAAAAGCTTATTTGGAAAATGACTTGGGTAGGCAGCCATGGCTCTTGTGGCCTTCATGTGGGGTGGGCAGGGAGAAAAAGGCTGGCATCTCAGTTGGATTTCATATATTTTCCCCCTCCACCCAGTTTTGAGTCAGGTACTTGTTCTGTCCCTGTCTCCCTCCATGATCGGCTCTGTTAAGAGTGCCTCTGTTTCACCCTCTCTAGAAAATAAGCCTCTAGTCTGCTGCTGGGGTGAAGGGTCACCTGGCTGAGCAGAGTGCAGGAGGGACACTCCAGGGGCTAACTGTGCCTCTGCAGCCTTCCCACCAGGCTTGCTGCTTTGGGCCCATCTCTCCTCCTACCTGCAGAGGTATTTGTGACTAGTTCCTATGCCCCATAGGAGTTCTGTGATATCAGTTGGGCTGCTGCTCAGTTTTCCTCACTGTTACCTGATTTTTAGCTCAAAAGTTTTGTTTCTGTGGTCTCTTCCATTATATTTCGCCTTAAAAATTTATGCCTTAGAGCTGGGCATGATGGCTTATGCCTATAATCCCAGTACTTTGGGATGCTGAGGTGGGTGGATCACCTGAGGTCAGGAGTTTGAGATCAGCCTTGCCAATGTGGTGAAATCCTGTCTCTACTAAAAATACAAAAAATTAGCTAGGCATGGTGGTGAGTGCCTGTAATCCCAGCTACTTAGGAGGCTGAGGCAGGAGAATTGCTTAAACATGGGAGGTGGAGGTTGCAGTAAGCCAAGATCATGCCATTTCACTGCAGGCTGGGCAACAAGAGCAAAACTCCATCTCAAAAAAAAAAAAAAAATTATGCCTTAGACAAAACCCAAAAGCCTTTTTTGTAATGTTTTAGGAGTAAATATAGAAATGTAAATAATGCATGTATCAAGTCCTTTGTCTCTAATCAGAATTGTTGTTTTTGTTTTCTTTCATTATCCGTTTAATAGATGCTTATTATGGAGAACTTTAAAAGTGTAGAAATGTAAGATGAAGGAAAAAAATCCCTTAAATTGCTATAGTAAGAATCAACCACCAATAGCGTTTGAGTATATCTCCTTCTGGTCATTTTTCTGTGCATTTTTTTCTTATAAAAGGTTATTATTTCATGTTTAAAATTTCATATTCTGCACTAAGAAAAATTGAAATAACGTTTTTCCAATGTCACTATAAATTTCATAAGCATTATTTAAATAAATGAATAAATATATAGCATTCTGTTTCAGGTTTAAGGGTCAGCTTTTGGATTATGTTTCTTTTTTGAGACAGAATCTTGCTCTCTTACCCACGCTGGAGTGCAGTGGCACAGTCTCGGCTCACTGCAACCTCTGCCTACCAGGTTCAAGCAATTCTGCCTCAGCCTCCCAAATAGTTGGGATTACAGGTGCCTGCTACCACACCCAGCTAATTTTTATATTTTTAGTAGAGATAGGGTTTCATCATGTTGCGCAGGCTGGTCTCTGAACTCTCGAGCTCAAAGCGATCTACGTGACTCAGTCAACCAAAGTGTTGGGATTACAGGTGTGAGCCCAGCCCCCACACCTGGCTGGTTATGTTTCCTGTTACAACATGGCAGTATAGTTTTCTGTACATCTTGATTTTTTTCCCCTAGTAAAGATTCTTATAAGTGAAATTGCTGAATCAAAGTTATGGATGCTTTAGGGTTCTTGATATATTGCTAACTTGTACCAATCCAGTTTATCCACACTGAATGAATATTCATATTAATGTCCTATACTGTTAGCAATATTAGTTTTCCCTCTTAAATTTACAAATAAGGCCGGGTGTGGTGGCTCATGCCAGAAATCCCAGCACTTTGAGAGGCTGAGGTGAGCGGATTACTTGAGCTCAGGAGTTTGAGACCAGCCGGGGCAACATAAGTGAAACCCCATCTCTACTAAAAATACAAAAAAAAAGGCCAGGTGCAGTGGCTCATGCCTGTAATCCCAGCACTTTGGGAGGCAGAGGTGGGCGGATCACCTGAGGTCGGGAGTTTGAGACCAGCCTGACAAACGTGGAGAAACCCCATCTCTACTAAAAATACAAAATTAGCTAGGCTTGGTGGTGCATCCCTGTAATCCCAGCTACTGGGGAGGCTGAGGCAGGAGAATCACTTGAACCTGGGAGGTGGAGGTTGCGGTGAGCCGAGATCATGTCATTGCACTCCAGCCTGGCAACAAAAAGGAAAGTCTGTCTCAAAAAAAAAAAAAAATTAGGTGGTCATCATGAAGTGCGCCTGTAGTCCCAGCTACTCAGGAGGCTGAGGTGAGAGGATCACTTGAACCTGAGAGGCAAAGGTTGTAGTGAGCCAAGATCAGGCCAGTGTACTTGAGCCTGGGTGATAGAGCAATAAATTTTTTACAAATAAAAAGGTGGTTTCTTATTGTAAGTTACTTTTCTTTCATTGCAAATAATAGTTTTTCTATGCATTGGCTCTTTCTTTTTTTGAAATATGTATGTCTGTTTATTAGGGTCTTTGTGCTTCTCTTACTGATTTGCGTAGGATAAGGATAAACTACCTTATTCTCATACTTTCCTAAACACAGTAGGACTGAGAGTTAGGCAGAAATATCACAAACTGGTTGCTTCAGGGGCTGAGTTCTCAGATTTCTTACAGCTTTAAGTGAGACGATAATAGGAAGAGACAAAATAAGTACCAAGTTCTGTGTCCAACCTTGTGAATTTTACAACCATAGCTACGATCATCACGAAGAAACCCTTATAGCAGTAGGGGAAATCTAAATAAAAGGGAAGCTTTGTCATGGATCAGAAGACTCAGTATGTTGGGGGTGGCAGTTCTCCCACATTCATCCACAGAGCCATTGAGATGCCATCAAAATCCTGGTAGTTTTTCATGAGACTGGATGTGCTCATTTTAAGTTCAGCATGGGCCTTGTATTGTGAGAATGGGCAAAATACTCTAGAATAACATCGCCTTCTAGATATCAAAGGACTGTCTAGAAGATATTAGTAGAAACAAATTCGTGATTATATGAACCTTGATAAATGAGAGGGAGTCTTAGAAAGTTTTAGGAAATGTTGCTGGGACAAGAGGTATCCATGGGGAGAAATATATTAGAAATTGGACCCCTATCCACACCACACAAAAGCAAATTCATGATAGATTAAAGACCTAGTTGTGGGGTGGGGGGATTGCTTGAGCCTAGGAGTTCAGACCAGCCTGGGCAACATAGCAGACCCTGTCAAAAAACAAACAAACAAACCCAAAACCTAGATGTGGAAAGGAAAATTACAGATTTTAGAAAAAAAAATACACAATATCTGTGTAGGGAAGGAGTTCTTTAAAAATAGGAAGGAAGTGAGGCCGGGCGCGGTGGCTCAAGCCTGTAATCCCAGCACTTTGGGAGGCCGAGGCGGGTGGATCACGAGGTCAAGAGATCGAGACCATCCTGGTCAACATGGTGAAACCCCGTCTCTACTAAAAATACAAAAATTAGCTGGGCATGGTGGCGCGTGCCTGTAATCCCAGCTACTCAGGAGGCTGAGGCAGGAGAATTGCCTGAACCCAGGAGGCGGAGGTTGCAGTGAGCCGAGATCGCACCATTGCACTCCAGCCTGGGTAACAAGAGCGAAACTCCATCTCCAAAAAAAAAAAAAAGGAAGGAAGTGATTCCATATATTCAGCCACTTTTCATCTGCTGGGTGTGGTGGCTTACTCCTGTAATCCCAGCACTTTGGGAGGCCAAGACAGGATGACTGCCTGAGGCCAGAACTTTGAGACTAGCCTGGTCAATATGGCAAGACCCAGTCTCTACAAAAAGAAAGTTTTTGGCTGGGTGCATCGCCTCACGCCTGTAATCCCAGCACTTTGGGAGGCCAAGGTGGGTGGATCACCTGAGGTCAGGAGTTCAAGACCAGCCTGGCCAAGGTGGTGAATCCCTGTCTCTACTAAAAATACAAAAATTAGCTGGGTGTGGTGCCACACACTTGTAATCCCAGCTACTTGGGAGGTGTAGGTAGAGAATCAAAGAATCACTTGAACACAGGAGGCAGAGGTTGCAGTGAGCCAAGATCATGCCACAGGACTCCAGCCTGGGCAACAGAGCGATATTCTGTCTCAAAAAAAAAAAAAAAAAGATTTTTTTTTTTTTTTTTTTTAAAGAACTTTTCGGAGCTGGGTACAGTGGCTCATACTTGTAACTCTAGCACTTTTGGAGGCCAAAGAGGGAAGATCACTTGAGTCAGGAGTTTGAGACCAGCTTGGGCAATGTAGTAAGACTTTGTCTCTATTTTTTTTTTTTTTTTTTTTTTTTGAGACAGAGTTTCGCTCTTGTTACCCAGGCTGGAGTGCAATGGCGTGATCTCGGCTCACCGCAACCTCCGCCTCCTGGGTTCAGGCAATTCTCCTGCCTCAGCCTCCTGAGTAGCTGGGATTACAGGCACGTGCTACCATGCCCAGCTAATTTTTTTGTATTTTTAGTAGAGACGGGGTTTCACCATATTGACCAGGATGGTCTTGATCTCTTGACCTTGTTATCCACCCGCCTCGGCCTCCCAAAGTGCTGGGATTACAGGCTTGAGCCACCATGCTCGGCCTGACTTTGTCTCTATTTTTTAAAAATGGCTGGACTTGGTGTCTCACACCTGTAATCCCAGCACTTTGGGAGGCTGAGGTGGGCAGATCACCTGAGGTCAGGAGTTCAAGACTAGCCTGGCCAACATGGTAAAAACCCTGTCTTTACTAAAAATACAAAAATTAGTCGTGCATGGTGGCGCACACCTGTAATCCCAGCTACTTTGGGGGCTGAAACAGGAGAATCACTTGAACCCGGAGGTAGAGGTTGCGGTGAGCTGAGATCGTGCCACTGCACTCCAGCCTGGGTGACAGAGTGAGACTGTCTCAGGGTGGGAAAAAAAGCAGTAATTAAAAGAACTTCCTGTTAAAAGACATCACAAAGTGAACAAACACAAATTAGGAAAGAACTTTAGGAACACATACAACTAATAAAAGATTCATATTCAGAATATAGACTCGTGTGTATATCTTGCAACTCAGACAATATAAAACTTTACAGAGGCCGGGCACAGTAGCTCACACCTGTAATCCCAGCACTTTGGGAGGCCAAGGCAGAAGGATCATGAGGTCAGGAGATCGAGACCATCCTGACAATGGTGAAACCCTGTGTCTACTAAAGATAAAAAAAATTTGCCAGGTGTGGTGGTGGGCGCCTGTAATCCCAGCTACTCAGGAGGCAAGAGAATTGCTTAAACCCAGGAGGTGGAGATTGCAGTGAGCCGAGATCATGCCACTGCACTCCAGGGAGACTGTGCCACTAAATAAAAATAAATAAATAAATAAAATTTACAGAAATCGCCGGGTGCCATAGCTCGAAACCAACCTGGCCAACATGGCAGTACTCCATTTCTACTAAGAATACAAAAATGAGTTGAGCATTGTGGTGCACACCTGTAGTCCCAACTACTCTGGAGACTGAGGCATGATAAATTCTTGAGCCTGGGAGGCAGAGGTTGCAGTGAGATCAGATCATGCCACTGTACTCCAGCCTGGGCGACAGGAGTGAGACTCCATCTCAAAAAAATGTTTTTTGTTTTTACATAAACACTTATGACACTTGAGGAAATCCAGATGGTTAATAAATATACGAAAATTTTCTGCCAGGCACAGTGGCTCATGCCTGTAATCCCAGCACTTTGGGAGGCCAAAGTGAGCAGATCTCTTGAGGTCAGGAGTTCAAGACCACCCTGGCCAACATGGTGAACCCCTGTCTCTACTAAAAATACAAAAATTAGCTGGAGATGCTGGTAGGTATCTGTAAACTCAGCTACTTGGGAGACCAAGGCAGGGAAATCTCTCCTGAACCCTGGAGGAGGAGGTTGCAGTGAGCTGAGATGGTGCCACTGCACTCCAGCCTGGATGGCAGAGCAAGGCTTTGTCTTAAAAAAAACAAAAACAAAAAACAGAAAATTTGCTTAACCTCATTGTTAATCAGGAAAATACAAAATTACTAGCCAGATTAGCAAATATTTAAAAATCTATTATTAAGCCTTCGTTGACTTTTTTTTTTTTCTTCTGAGATGACCCAGTCTTGACTCACTGCAACCTCCACCTCCTGGGTTCAAGCGATTCTCCTGCCTCAGCCTTCTAAGTAGCTGGGATTATTGGCACCCACCACCACACCCAGCTGATTTTTGTATTTTTAGTAGAGATGGGGTTTCACCATGTTGGTCAGGCTGGTCTCAGACTCCTGACCTCGTGATCCGACAGCCTCGGCCTCCCAAAGAGTGCTGGGATTACAGGCATGAGCCACTATGCGCATCCTTTTTTTTTTTTTTTTTTTTTTTGAAATGGAGTTTTGCTCTCCCTGGGCAAAACTTTGAGGGAGTTTTGAGGCTCTAATGGAGTGACACAGTCTCAGCTCACTGCAACCTCCACTTCCCAGGTTCAAGCGGTTCTCCTGCCTCAGCCTCTTAAGTAACTGGGATTATAGGCATGCACGACCACACCTGGCTAATTTTTATGTTTTTAGTAGAGACAGGGTTTCACTGTGTTGGCCAGGCTGGTCTCAAACTCCTGACCTCAGGTGATCTGTCTACCTTGTCCTCCCAAAGTGCTGGGATTACAGGCATGAGCCACCATGCCTGGCCTTTGCTGGCTTTGAAATTGATCTTACCTGTTTGCATGCTTTGCCTTAATTGATTGCAGTAAACCAGACACAGAATGACAAGTACATTTTCAGCGCTTGCCTTGGGCTTTTGAAGTACCTAACAGTAACCTTTTCTCTTCATGTGCTTTAGCTCAGGTTCAGATTGAAGGAGATTTTTTGGCATGTTCCTTCTCTATACTTGAGGAACAGCCCATGGACATGCTTCTGGGACTGGACATGCTTAAACGGCATCAGGTAATTAAGAGCTTCACTTTTTTTTTTGCACCTGCTTTTTGTAATATGGTTATTGTTATATTACGTTGTTATTGCTTATGTATACTGGAAAACTAAGAAATACGACTTTTCAAATCTCGAAGTGTCCTTAAATTGTGTTGTTATACAAAGGTTGAAATGATGTATCAATATAGATAGAATTTGTTTTTGTGAAATCTCTCTGAATCTGTTGAATCTTGACAAATGTTTTGAGCTTGTAAGGGACAATTCGATCCCTCGTATAATTTTAAAATTCTGGTTAGATCCTGATTAGTAGTTTTTTTGATGATTGACTAAAAGTGTCAGTCCAGTAAGTTTTTAGTATTTTCCGATGCCGATCAAATAGTACTTGGGAAGAAGACATTCAAGGTTAAGGAAGGTATATGTATGTCGTTGGGAGTGAAAGTGTTTGTTTAGTACAGGGAGCATAATTAATATATTAATTTGTATTGATATTTATCTTTCTACTCTAAAGCGCAATAATTTAAGGTATACTGCCCTCGTTGAAGAAGCAGTCCACTCGCTAATTAGACAAGATTGGACATGTTCAGGGCAGTATGGCTATAGATCCCATTCAATACTTCACATTTTTCACAGTAGAATTTTGTGTCTAGTCAACCTGGCCAGGTACAATGATGCATGCCTGTAATCCAGCGTCTTGGGAGGCTGAGGAGGGTGGATTGCTTGAGGCCAGAGTGAGTTTGAGACCAGTCTGGGTGACTTAGTGAGATCCTGTCTCTACAAAAAATACAGAAATTAGCTAGGATGGTGGTACATTAGCTACTTGCAAGGCTGAGGCAGGAGGATCCCTTGAGACCAGGGTACAGTGAGTCAGGATTTGCCACTGCACTTCAGCCTGGGTAACAGAGCAAAACCCCATCTCAAAAAAGAAACTTGAGTTTAAAACAATTGAAAATATAGGTAATCAATATTTTTATGACACTATTTTTGAATATTTCTGTAAAAGTAGATGCATCATATTGATAATAAGACATAGCATTCTAAATAGAACAAATGAATGAATGTATGTATCAATAAAACCTTGTCACTGTCTTTCCTTATTTAGTCATGATATGGACCAGCAGTCTCCAATTTTATAGATATAAATCATATATGTTCACAACTGTCTGTTAAGTAGTTACGAAGTACACAAAAAAGGAAGTTAGCATTAGTATGGAGTAAAGAATACTGTGGAAATTGCCTTGCACATCCACCACTTGAGACGATTGGTGGAGTGTAATATAAGCTGTACGTGATATAATAAGCAAAAGACAGCACTGTATAAATACTATGATCTCAGCTTTATAAGAAAAGTTGTTTGTGTGTTCCTGAAAGGTGGAGCTTCTAATTATGCTTGGCACTTTTCCAAATTTTTGCAATAAGCATGTATTATATTTATAATCAGAAATGAGCAAATATTATTTTAAAGACAAATAAATGTAAACTGTATCCTATAAAGATATAGGATGTACCTTTAAAGGATATATATAACTTTATATAACTAAAAGCTATAACTTTTACATATTAAAAAAAATACAGCCTGGATGCAGTGGCTCATTCCTGTAATCCCCACACTTTGGGAGGCCAAGGCAGGAGGATCACTGAAGTCCAGGAATTCAAGACCAGCCTGGGCAACATGCGAGCCACGTCTCTACAAGAAATAAAAAATCAACCAGGTGTGGTGGTGTGCATGCCTGTAGTCCCAGCTACTCAGGTTGCTGAGGTGGAAGGATCACTTGAGCCTGGGAGGTTGAGGTTGCAGTGAGCTGTGATCATGCCACTGCACAGCCTGGGTGACAGAGTAAGACCTTGTCTCAAAAAATAAAATAAAAATCTAAACAGACAGTATCACCCAGGTTAAAGTTTAAATACTTTTAGATAAAGTAGTTTTTGTAAACTGTCTGTGTCCCTATCAGTGTTCTTTGTAAATGGAAGATTTTTTAGGTTTATTTTTTTGAGACAGAGTCTCACTTTGCCACCCAGGCTGCCAGGCCGGAGTGCAGTGGTGCGATTTTGGCTCACTGCAAGCTGTGCCTCCCCAATTCAAGCGAGTCCCCTGCCTCAGCCTCCCAAGTAGCTGAGATACAGGTGCCTGCCACCACAGCTGGCTAATTTTTGTATTTTCAGTAGAGATGGGGTTTTACCATGTTGGCCAGGCTGATCTGGAGTTCCTTACCTCAGGTGATTCACCCGCCTTGGCCTCCCAAAGTCCTGGGATTACAAGCATGAGCCACTTCGCCTGGGCATTTGTGAATGGAGTTTTAAATTAAGGATTGTAATTTTTCTGCATGGTATTTTATCTGCTATTATCATCCTTTGGTTTCTTTCTTCTAAGTGTTCCATTGACTTGAAGAAAAATGTACTCGTGATCGGCACCACAGGCTCCCAGACTACCTTTCTTCCTGAGGGAGAGCTACCAGAGTGCGCCCGGTTGGCATATGGGGCCGGACGAGAGGATGTGCGGCCAGAGGAGATTGCAGACCAAGAATTAGCAGAAGCCCTTCAAAAATCAGCAGAGGATGCAGGTATTTAGAATGACCGAACTCTTCAATACTTATTGATGGATGAGCCAGGGAAGTTCGGGCTTCAGAAGGGGCAGGAACCTTACCAATTTTTAATCAGTCTCGTGGTCCAGTAACAGATGTGTTCATTGTGTGTCTTCTTAACCTCCTCCTTTATTGTTTGTCTTCTTAACTTCCTCCTTTGATCTCTTCCTTTTTTGGGGGGGTGGTGGGGGAGACATAGTCTCACTCTGTCACCCAGGTTGGAGTGCAGTTTGCTGTGTGACATGATTGTAGTTCACTGCACCTTCGACTTCCTGGGCTCAAGCAATCCTCTCACCTCAGCTTCCTGAGTAGCTGGGACTACACCTGGCTAACTTTTTTATTTTTAGTAGAGATGGAGTCTTGCTGTGTTTCCCAGGCTGTTCTCCAATTCCTAGGCTGAAGCGATCCTCCTGCTTTGGCTTCCCAAAGTACTGATTATAGGTGTGAGCCACCATATCCAAACCCATCTCTTATTACAATAATGAAAAATTCTGTATTCTGACCAGACGTGGTGCCCCACACCTGTAATCTCAGTACTTGGGGAGGCTGGGTGAGTGGATCACCTGAGATAAGGAGTTTGAGACAAGCCTAACCAACATGGTGAAACCCCATCTCTACTAAAAATATAAAAATTAATAGGGTGTGGTGGCGCACCCCTATAATACCAGCTGCTTGGGAGGCTGAGGCAGGAGAATCACTTGAACCTGGGAGATGGAGGGTGCAGTGAGCCAAGATAGTGCCACTGCACTCCAGCCTAGGCAACAGAGTGAGAGTGTCTCATAAAAAAAGAAAAATTCGATAGTTTAGTATTTCAATAGATTAAGGACAGCTCAATCTGTTGCTGTATTTGAGCTAGATTGGGGAGTTATTTTGCATAGACAGATTTTAGAAGCTTCCTAAATCTTTTTAGGAATTTTTTTTTGGGGTATGTTTTTATTTTTGTGATTTTCCTCAAGAAAATTATGACAGTAAGCAGATACTAACTTTTGAGTCCAGCAGTATTTCCCTGATGATTTATTTCCTTTTCTTAGGCCTGTTTTATTTATATTATATTTTATGTTGTTACATTTCACGTTTCTATAGATAGGGTCTTGCTTTGTTGCCCCGGCTGGAGTGCAGTGGCACAGCCATGGCCCACTGCAGCTCAGTCTCACAGGCTCAAGTGGATCCTCTTGCCTCAATCTCCCAAAGCACTAGGATTACAGGCACGAGCCACCCATGCCTCTTAGGCCTGTTTATTTTGAAACATACCACTGCTGCTGTGTGTAAGCAGCCCCAACTTTTAAAATATTTACTGAAAGTGCTGCCACCGAAGACAGAAGAACCAACAAGAAGAAGTATAAATTTTTATTTACTTAATTTATTTTTGCTTTTTTTGTTGGTTTTGTTTTCTTGAGACGGAGTCTTGCCCTCTTGCCCAAGCTGGAGTGCAATGGCACAGTCTTGGCTCACTGCAACCTCTGCCTCTCCGGTTCAAGTGACTCTCCTGTCTCAGCCTCCCGAGTAGCTGGGACTGGGACCACAGGTGGCTGCCACCACACCTGGCTAATTTTTTTTTTCTTTCTTTTTTTTTTTTTGAGACAGTCTTGCCTTATTGCCCAAGTTGGAGTGCAGTGATGCTGTCTTGGATCACTGCAACCTCCACCTCCTGGGTTCAAGCGATTCTCCTGCCTCAGCCTCCCAAGTAGCTGGGATTACAGGCATATACTACCACACCTGGCTAATTTTTTGCGTTTTTTTTTCTTTTCTTTTCTTTCTTTCTTTTTTTTATTAAAAAAAAAAAAGATTTTTTAAAATTTTTACTTTTTTCTTTTTTTTGTTTGAGACAGAGTTTCGCTCATTACCCAGGCTGGAGTGCAATGGCGCAATCTCGGCTCACTGCAACCTCCGTCTCCTGGGTTCAAGCAATTCTCCTGCCTCAGCCTCCGAGTAGCTGAGACTACAGGCGTGCACCACCATGCCCAGCTGATTTTTTTTTTTTGTATTTTTAGTAGAGACGGGGTTTCACCATGTTGACCAGGATGGTCTCGATCTCTTGACCTCGTGATCCACCTGTCTCGGCCTCCCAAAGTGCTGGGATTATAGGCGTGAGCCACCGCGCCGGACCTACTTTTTTCATATAAAAAAATATTTTTTTTCTTTATAAAGATGGGGTTTCACCGTGTTGGCCAGGCTAGTCTTAAACTCCTGACCTCATGTGATCCACCTACCTCGGCCTCCCATAGTGCTGGGATTACAGGCATGAGCCACCATGCCCAGCTAATTTTTTGTGTCTTTAGTAGAGATAGGGTTTCACCATGTTGGCCAGGCTGGTCTTGAACACCCGACCTCGTGATTCACCTGCCTCAGCCTCCCAAAGTGCTGGGATTACCACCCCACCAAAGTGCTGGGTGAGCCACCCCACCTGGCCTAAATTTTTTCTTTTGAGACATTGTCTCATTCTGTCACCCAGGCTTATCTTCCCATCTCAGCCTCCTGAGTAGCTACATTACAGGTACCCACAACCATGTCCAGCTAATTTCTGTATTTTTTGCAGAGATGAGGTTTTGCCGTGTTTCCCAGGCTGGTCTTGAACTCCTGGGCTCAAGCAATCCACCCACCTCAGCCTCTCAAAATGATAGGATTATAGGAGTGAGCCACTGTGCCTGAGCAGCATAACTGAATATTATTGAAAATGGAGTGTTTTGGTCTGAGTAGTGTCATCAGGCCCTATTATCACTGTATATATTGAAATCATGCTACCTAATACTTTTTTCTACGTCTCAATTATTTAACTTGTTTAAATGTATTAATGATGGAGCCAAGTTTTCTGGGTAAAATGGGGTAACACAGTGTTGCTGAAATCCCCCATTTATTATAAAACAGTGACTGGGATGTATTTTCTAGAAATTGAATAGAATTTACTTTTGAGTTTGGGTTATTTTACAGTCTTGTGCTGGAATTATTCATTAGTATGACTAATATCACACATTATTTTTTCTAGTACAGTAAAATATTAGAGTTACAAGTTTCGGGAATAGCTTTATCCTAAAGACAAAGTTGTAAGAATTTTAAAAATAACCAGCCAGCTTTTGCCACTGTTTTACTGGAGAACATTCAGATGCCTATCTTTGAGCTTTAGAATGGATGTGGGTGGCAGATGGAGTTTTCTAGGTTGGCTTTGTTCAGAAATGGCTCCATCACCTTTTTGCTCAGTTTTACATATAAAGTACAGTTTGAGTTAGGGTGTAGTGGCTCATGCCTGTAATCTCAGCACTTTGTTAGGCCAAGGCAGGAGGATCACTTGAGCCCAGGAGTTTGAAACCAGCCTGGGTAACATAGTGGGACTCTGTACAAGAATAAAAAAAAAAATTAGCCCGGCATGATGGTGCACCCGTAGTTTCAGCTGCTTGAGAGGCTGAGGTGTGAGATTCGTCTGAGCCCAGGAGGTCAGGGCTGCAGTGAGCCGTGCTTGCTCCACTGCACTCCAGCCTGGATTACAGAGCAAGACCCTGTGTCCAAAAAAAAAAAAGGATTGAATCCATCACTTTTTGGCTCAAGTTTTTATATTAAGTACAGTTTTGGCTGTGACTTAATATTTGTAGGAAGGGGAAAATTTTGAACAACCAGACAAGAGACTAACTTAATTATAATCTTACCAGCAAGGTAAGCATGAATGAGTTTGACATATGTACTTACAAGGTTTTGCATTTGGGGTGTAACTTACCATCTTAGGTGTGATACTGTGTGTTAATAATTAAGATTATTATCATTTTTTGAAATGTCTTTTTTTTTCTTTTAACCTCCACAGTCTTGGTGCTATTATTTAAGAAACATTAGCTGATGACAGCAGTGCTTTCTAACCTACTAATAACAGCCTTTTTTGGTTAATTACCTTATTTTAACAGAAGTTTGGCAGATTAAAATAGATACACATGTTTTCAGGCCTAGTGAAGGGGATGTACCAACTTTAAAGAATTAAAAAGAAATGGCTTTTTACCTAAATAACCTTTCGTTGCTTAGATGTATGGCTTATGCTAATTTCTTTTTTTTTTTTTTTTTTGAGACGGAGTCTTGCTGTCACCCAGGCTGGAGTACAGTGGTGTGATCTCAGCCCACTGCAACCTCTGCCTCCCAGTTTCAAGTGATTCTCCTGCCTCAGCCTCCCGAGTAGCTGGGATTACAGGCATCCACCACCACACCTGGCTAATTTTTTTGTATTTTTAGTAGAGACAGGGTTTCACCATGTTGGCCAGGCTGGTCTCAAACTCCCAACCTTGTGATCCACCCGCCTCAGCCTTCCAAAGTGCTGGGATTACAGGCGTGAGCCACTGGACCCAGCCAATTTTTGTAATGTTTAAGTGATGAAATAATTCTACATTATCAGGCTCCTTTTTATTAAGAATATCGACTTCCTAATATAATCCAAATAAATGGACATAGTAGGTGAAAGTATTTTGTTAACAGTTTCTTTCTGGCCAAGCATGGTGGCTCATGCCTGTAGTCCCAATACTTTGGGAGGCTGAAGTGGGCAGATCACCTGAACCTACAGGTTTGAGACTCACCTGGGCAGCATGGCAAAACACTGTCTCTACAAAAGAAAAAAAAAAAAAAAAAAAAAAAAAAAGGAACACAAAAGATTAGCCAGGCATGGTGGCATGAACCTGTGGTCCAGCTACTCAGGAGGATGAGGTGGAAGGATCACCTGATTTTGGGGAGGTCAAGGCTACAGTGAGTCGTGATTGCACCACTGCACTCCAGCCTAGGCAACAGTCAGACTCTGTCTCAATAAAACAAACAAACAAAAAGCTTATTTTTAAAATACTTTATATTATAATATCTCTCTCTCTTTTTTTTTTTTTTTTTTTTTTTTGAGACAGAGTCTTGCTCTGTCACCAGGCTTGAGTGCAGTGGCTGGATTTCAGCTCACTGCAACCTCTGCCTCCCGGGTTCAAGTGATTCCCCTGCCACAGCCTCCCAGGTAGCTGGGACTACAGGTA